TGCAGATGGGAGCGGTGGTGGTGATGATGATGAATTGTTTGTAGATTATGGTAGCACTGCCTTGCGTGTGCTGTCGTGTCACCTTGGACAGCTGTGCTGCAGTGGGATGTGCATTGTGCTTTACTACCGTCTAGTCCTGGATTCATCCTTGCCTCTCACGCCCTTCCCAAACCACCTTCATCCTGACCCCACCATCCATTTTACTCTCCCTTCCTCTCCTCCACGACCACCCTCTACCACCTCCTCAGCTGCACTTCCCTGACACGGAGCACCATCTGCCTGCGCGCGGTGACGCCGCTCTCCGCATCGCCATCTACGAGGATGAGCCCTCCTCGCTCGTCGCGTTCACCCTCTCCTCCCGCGAGTACAGGCAGTTCCTCAGACAGCGCGCCCTGGACAAGACACAGGTCTGCCGTGCTGTGTGGTGCTGTGTGTGTGTGCGTGTGTGCGTGCGTGTGAATGTGTGTGTGTGTGTGCCTGGTGCTTCCGTTGTGTGTCTTTTCCTTGTTCCTTTGTTGTTGCCTTTGTTTGGCATTCCAGCTGTTTGCGCCATGTTCTTTGTTCCTCACTACCCCACCCCCCCCCCCTCTTTATGCTCCTTCCGTCCGTCCAAACCCTCCCGTCCAGGCGTCCACATCCGCTGCACCGCCACGGCACCATCACGACAGCCTGCAGCTCGCCGACCCAGCAGTGGCCGATGACGATGAAGGTAGCGGTGATGGTGGCCGTGGTGGTGACGACGGGAAGCGAAAGGGTGGCGCGATGAGCGTGAGCAACACGGCGTCGAGTGATGTTCGCACGTCTGCTGTTGCAACGGCACCCGGCTCTCCACTTGTCTCCACTCCCCAGACGCCGTCCATTGCACTGACCTCCACGCCATCGGCTCGCTCGAGTGCCGTGTTCCCCGTCGTCCCTTCCACCACCATCACACCCGTTGCCACGGCTGCGGATGCGCCAACATCGACCGCCAACACCACCACCCCAGGTACCGCAACAAGAACAGCAGCAGCAGCAACATTGTCATCCACCAAGAAGACACCTGCAACAGCAGCGGCGGCGGCAGCGGCGTTGGTTGCTCAATCGTCGTCAACGCCCACGACTGGAACATCATCAACAACAGCACCAACAGCAGCACCAACAACGGCAGCAGAGCCGTCTCAGTCCACCACGGCCACGCCAGCGACAGCACCGAGTGGCAGTGCACCGTCCTCGCGCCACAACTCGCGATCCATGGGAAGTTTTCTCCACCGCGCAACACACGTGCGCACACCATCGCGCGCAAGCGGCATCTCAGAGCAGCAGGTTGGTGCCGAGTGTGTGTGTGTGTGTGTGTGTGTGTGCATGTGTGTGTGTGTGTGTGCGTGTGTGTGTGTGCATGTGTGTGCATGTGTGTGTGTGTGCATGTGTGTGTGCATGTGTGTGTGTTTGTGTCGTGTCATGCCATGGCATCATCACTTCGCTCACGGTCATCATCTGCCTCCATACGTGATCTGCGATGCAGGGTGATGTTGATGCTGATGCGAGCGCCAAATCCAGAAAACCGACCACGCCGCACTTTCAGCACAAGCACAGCAGTGACCAGACCCGCTTCTACTGCAAGGTGTCGCATGCGTGCTGTTGGTGTTGGTGGCCATGTGCGTTGCATCAGATATCGATTGCAGAGGCTTACGATGTTTGTGTGTTTATGTGTCATGGAGGTGCTGTGGTGCTCATGATGCGATCCTTGAACATGTGTTTTTGTTCGCAGGCGTTCTTTGCTCGGGAGTTTTATGATCTGCGCCGGCTGTGGATCAACGGTCCGAACTGCCCCGATGACGACGGCGATGATGATATTGCATCATGCGAACGCAATTTTGCAGAGTCCCTCTCAAGGTGAGTACATTGCGTATGTTGTGCGTGCATTGTGGTGTGTGTGTGTGTGTGTGTGTGTTTGTAAATGGTGTGTTCTGTGTGTGTGTGCGTGTGTGTGCTTGTGTGTGCTTGTGTGTGCGTCGTTCACTGCAAGCCAGTTCACACCTGCTACCACGACTGCGCTCCATGACAGGTGCGTGAAGTGGATGGCGCAGGGTGGAAAGTCTGGCTCGGACTTCTGCAAGATGTCGGACGACCGCTTCATCATGAAACAGGTGAGTGACGAAATTGGGTGCGCTTCGGTGGATGGATGGGCGCACCTTGACATTGGCACCAACATGTCAGCCGTCTGAACCACAGCTCACAAACACACAACCACACACACACACACACACACACACACACACACACACAAACACACAAACACACAAACACACACCCCCTTCACACCTCCCACCTTCACCTTGTTCCCTTTCGCTTGTCTTGCCCTTCCCCCCACTACCCCCCCACTACCCCCCCCCCCCTTCATATGCACTGCGCCAGCTGTCGAGTGCGGAGAGCGATTCGATCCTGGACTTTATGCCGCGCTACTTCGAGTACATGACGGACGCGTACACACACAAGAAGCCCACGCTCCTCGTCAAGATCTTTGGCGTCTACAGAATCGGTGCGATGTTGGAGAGACATGTCACGTTGTTGGTTGAACACATCGTGTTCGAGGCTGTGTGTGTGTGGATGTATGTGTGGTGGACGTATGTGTGTGGATGTGGATGTATGTGTGGATGTGTTTGTGTGTGTATGTGTATGTGTGTGTGTGGTTCTGTGCGTGTGTGCGTGAGTGTGTGTGTATGCTTCGCTTGCAATCAGCTTGCTTTGAAGTTCTCCATCGCATGCTCTCACACACGTGCCCTACACGCCATTCCATGCTGCTGTCCGGTTTGGTTGGTGTCAGGTTTCCAGAACAAGAGCACGAAGCGCGCGTGGCGGCAGGATGTTTACATCATGGAAAACCTCTTCTTCGACCGCCACATCTCAACCATCTTCGACCTCAAGGTGTGTGTATGTATATGTGTGTATGTATGTATGTATATATGTGTGTATGTACGTGTGTGTGTGTGCTTGGTGGTGGTGACTACAGCAACTTTTCTCACCTTGCTCACTCTTCCGCCACATGCGCTGCGACACTGCATTTACAGGGAGCGATTCGCGGACGGTATGCGACGAAAGGGGCCGTACTCCTTGATCTAAACATGCTCGAACTCGTTTCGAAAGAGCCCCTCTACCTCCGTCCGCACAGCAAGGTGCGTGTGTGCGTGTCTGTGTGCATCTGTGTGTCCATCTCTCTGTCTTTGGGCGTGTATACTTGACTCTCGTCACTGTTGCACTGTACTACATGTTTTACCCCTCACACCTTCCTCTCTCCCCCCTCCAACCTCGCACGATGACAGGCTGTGCTGAACCAGGCCATCCACAACGACACGCGCTTCCTCAGCAGCCTCAACATCATGGACTACAGTCTCCTTGTCGGCGTCGACGCAAACCGCGGGGTGCGTTTCTTGGCTCGTGTGTTGGCTTGTGTGCATGTGCATGTGAAATGTCAAGGATCACGTCGTGTGTGTGTGTGTGTGTGTGTGTGTGTGTGTGTGTGTGTGTGTGTGTGTGTGTGTGTGTGCGTGTGCGTCATGTTGTTTACGTTCTTTGTTCTGGTCTTTGAAACATGACCACGCGCATACGTCCCACTCGCATACGTCTCACTCACATCACAACACAACACAACACAACCCACTCGCATTCACACACACATACACCCGACTGCACCATGACCCTTCCCTCTCCTCCTTTCGGCCGTGACAGGAGCTCGTTGCCGGTGTGATCGACTACATCCGCACGTTCACGTGGGACAAGAAGCTTGAGATGTGGTTCAAGCGTTACGCGTTCGGCAGCAAGAGCGAACTCCCAACCATCATCTCCCCAGGTTTGTGGACGATTGCGCGCGCGTGTGTGTGTGTGTGTGTGTGTGTGTGTGTGTGTGTGTGTGTGTGTGTGTGTGTGTGTGTGTGTGTGTGTGTGTGTGATTGTGTGATTGTGTGATTGTGTGATTGTGTGATTGTGTGATTCTGAAGTACTTGCAGATGATGCTTGTGTCATGTGTGTACAGACAAGACAACGCCCGTCCCGTTTCCCTCAGCATCAGCATGGCCATCACAACCTTCTTTCACATCACCACACGCGCCCCCAATGCTTCCATGCTCCCTCCTTGCGCCTCCCCCACTCCTCTCTGACACTCACCTCTCTCTCTCTCTGTCTCTCTCTCTCTCTCTCTCTCTCTCTCTCTCTCTCTCTCTCTCTCTCTCTCTCTCTCTCTCTCTCTCTCTCTCTCTCTCTCTCTCTCTCTCTCTCTCTCTCTCTCTCTCTCTCTCTCTCTCTCTCTCTCTCTCTCTCTCTCTCTCTCTCTCTCTCTCTCTCTCTCTCTCTGTTCACCATCACCGCCACCACTGCCGCCGCTGCACAGAGCAATATGAGAGCCGCTTCATCAACGCCATGAACCGGTACTTCTCGCTCGTGCCGGACAAATGGGTGGCGTCGTCCGTGCTGTCCTTCCTCGTCCATGGCGCCGTGTCCACAGCGCGCGGCACGCAGCAGCAGGAGGACGCTGAGCGGGAGGGCGTGTCGCATTTCACGTTTCAGAATGCGCGGCGCACAGCACCCCAGGCCCTGTACGATCGCGACCACCACAGCAGCAGCAGCAGCACCGCCAACACCACGGCTGGCAGTGGCAGTGGCAGCAGCAATAACAACACTAACAACACCACCACCACCACCAACAACAACAGCAGCAGCAGCAGCAGTGGAGGTGGCGGTGGTGGTGGTGGTGGTGGTGATAGAAAGGACAGGGATGAGCATGGTGGTGTGGGTGTCAGTGTTGTGCACAATAGCAGTCAGGGTTGAGAGTGGTGTGTGGTTTGATTATGGTTGCAGCAGCTGTGCATCTGCTTTCGCCTCCACACGTCGTTGCGACTGCGGGCTCCATCCCAACTTGTGTTATTTGTAACAATCGTTTTTTTTTTTTTGATGTAAAACTTTAATGGTGTCGCTTGCCCCGGTGGTGGGGTTGCCCGCAAGCGACACGTCGTGGTTGCCAGATCAGTTGGAGAAGGCAGAAAGTACAATCGTTTATTTTCGCTTAGAACTCTTCCTCTCCTCTGTACACAAGAGTGGCATAGACGATATCAACGGCAATGTCATGCTTCGCAGCTGTACACCTGCACCAAACATGTATTTCACGAAAACACACACGCACACACACACACACACACACACACACACACACACACACACACACACACGAACACACACACACACACACACACACACACAATTCGTGAGATTAACCGCTCTACTGTAGTTTCTGGACGCCACTTGTCACGGCCTAGCGGTGGAGACATCCTCCATCATGTCGACAACATCGCTGACATCGCCCTCTTCCATGCGCAGCAGGAGCAGCTGCTGCTGTTCTGGAGACAGCCCACATTCGCCGTCCCAGAACGCGCTCTTGTTTGATTTTGACATGGCCACGCTCCTCTTCCATATGGCGCCTGCAAAACGCGCCAAAAGTGAATCACATGGGAAGGAATGAATAACATGAGCGCAAGCGACGCAACGCAAGATGATCAGGTGTGGCGAATTCATGATTTCTTGCATCCGTGCCGCAGTGGGCAGCGTGTTCAGGGACATATGCAGGGCAGGGCGACTTCGTGTCCACAAACGCACCGCATCGGCCTTCGCAGATGGGACACGGTCGCAGCATGGCAAAGCCGCCGCACTCTTCACAGCCCGGAGACCAGTGCTGCTGAAACCAGCAAGCGCCACACCTGTACGCAGATTACAGAAATGCGTGCCGTGTGAATTGAGTGCGAGGTGTTGAGGTAAAGGAAACAAGTGCGTACAACCAGAAGATAAACGAAGGAGCAAGGCAAGGATGAGGGAGCAGCGCGACACAAAACAACAAACCCAAGCCTGTGCAGGTGCAACCCCTTTCAGACACACACACACACACACACACACACACACACACACACACACACACACACACGCACACCACACACGCACACCACACACGCACACACACACAGACACACGCACACACACACACACACAAACACGAACAAACAAACAAACAAACGCAGAAACACACAACACGTACGTTGTGCATGTTTGGTGCCAAGCTTTGTACTCTGACGAAGACAGCAACTGCGAGACCTGCTCCTTTGTGTGTGCTTCCCCTTCCTCCTTGTACTCCTTCATTGTCAAGAAAGGCCCAAGCCGTGCACCACGCGGAGGCTGTGATTGTTGGTGTGGTTGTTGGTGGGGTTGGTGGTGGGGTTGGTGGTGTGCATCGTCGTCTCCGCGCACGTCCATTGTTGGCGATTCGTGAGTGTGATGGTTGATTTTCTTCAGCACAACGGAAAGCGATGACAAATCGATTGCAGCAGCAGTGCGCGCTTCTGTGGTGGTGGTGGTGCTGCTGCTTCTGCCTTTGCATCACCATCAGCGACAGGGCAGCTGCGGCCACCACGATCACGGTGAGGACTGGAGGAACAGTGAAGAGAGGGAGACAGAGAGAGACAGTAAAAGGGGGATGGAGCGATTCCGGGAGACAGCGGGTAAATGGGAGATAGAAGGAGTAGTGCTCATGCGCCTGTGCTGGTGGTTGTGTTTGACATTGATGACGACGAGACACCTTCGGTGTGGCCCTCACTGAATCATGGCTCTTCACTGAATCATGTGTCTTCGTTGCACCTTGCGCCCTTTCCTTGAACAAGACGTCATTTGTGCTCGATGAGCAGGATGCGCAGGACAAGAGCACACATGTGGTGTTCCATGGAGACTTTGGCCTGCAGGACCTTGCACAGGAGATGAATCTCGACCTCCCTTCTGTGTACCGCCACATGTCGTCCTGGGTGCGTCACGTGCGCGTCTGTGCAACTCGCGTTGACACATATCGCTGCTGTGCTCCACGCCAGCACGATCTCGCGCTTGCTTTTGTCCTCAAACACACACTCACACCCTATCTCTCTCTCTTTCGCACTCACTCGCTTCCATGTGCTCTGCACTCTTCCTTTCATCTTGTCGCAGGCATCGATTCACATGGCCAGGAAGAACGGCCAACAGTACGAGTGCTTCATGCCGACATCAGACCAAGGTGGAGTTCGTGCTGTCTGTGAACACGTGAAAGTGTTTACGTGTTGCGTGATTGCGCTGGCCTTGCATGCTTTTCTCAATCAGTTTCCCCTACCTCACGCACACACACACATACACACACGCACACACACGCACACAAATGCACACACACACACACACGCACGTACGTATGCGCATGTGCAATTGCCCTCTTGATCTGCTCGTTTCCATCCACCCAGCGAGAGCAATGGAGCAGGACGTTGGGCAGTCCTTCCACGCCACGCTGGCGGATGTGCAGGTGGAGATGACATCAGCCTGCGTCACGGAGGTAAGAGGCTCACCTGCAAATGTTGGAGTGACGCATGTCGCCGCAGTGTATGTGCACTGTGTGTGTGCGTGTGCGTGTTCGCATGTGTGCTTTGAACAAATCACCTTGATGTGCTCACTGAAGCTCTCTGCGGCATTCGTTATCGACACAGGTGCGCGGCTGGTGGACATACAAGGTGAACAGCCGCAGTCTGAGACGTGTGAACCGCATTGATGGCGTGCATGTGTATGTACATGCGGCGCGACACATCTGAAAGCGTCCATTATTGCTGACGGTTGCAATTGCTGTTGCTGTTGCCAGGTGTGTCCTGAGGAGCGAATTGAGCAGTATCACACAGATGCGAGTGGACGTATCATCGACGACAAAGTCCGTGAACAAGAATATGAATGTGCCGCTGTGTGCCTGCCTGCGAATCCTCAATGAGTTGCTTTGTACAGTTATGTTACACACCGTCCCCTCTCTTGCTTGCACTGCGTACACACACACACACACACACACACACACACACACACACACACACACACACACACACACACACACACACACACACACACACACACACACGTACGCACACACACACACACACATGTAGACGGACGACATCCCTGCTGTGATTCTGCTCGGATTCGGGTCGCGCGTGTTTCACAAACACTATGGGCCCGACACGGCAGCCAGCAGCAGCGACAACAACGGTGATGATGGTGGTGGTCACAGTGGCGACGCTCACACCAAACCATACCGCAGAGAGAAGAAACGTGTCGTTGATGGTGTCGATGGTGATGACGACGACGACAACGGCAACAGCGACAGCGCCAGTAAAGCTCCTCCTCCGCTTCAATCGCCACGCGTGTCCATCAGTCGCCTGCCGGAACACGTCACGTCCGGCCGCGCAAAGGCACTCGCTAACGATCCCCTCACACAGGGGCGGTTCATTGTGGAGACGTTTGAGGGTGGCCATCCGTGCCCCAAGACGGGCATGCCGCGACGCAGCGACGTGCTGTATGTGTGCGATGGATGGTGGCTCGCACGCCTCGATGCCTTGTCAAAGACAGTGCCTGCACACAGCGCACCGCACCCTCGCATCACGCACGTGGAGGAATCACCAACGTGCAAGTACGTTTGATGTTGAGAGGGGGGGGTGAAGTTGTGTGTGTGTGTGTGTGTGTCTGTGTGTGTGTCTGTGTGTGTGTGTGTGTGTGCTTACAAGGTAGTGTGTGCATGCGAGGTAGTGTGCACAAATGTGTACGTGCGAGTGACGAGAGTGTGCACAAATGTGTACGTGCGAGTGAGGAGCGTGTGCACGCACGTTTGTTTCAATGTCAACCGATGTGCGCTTGTGTTTTGTGTCATCTTGTCACCCTAATACGCGCGTTCACATCACCACCACCATCGCCACCACCACCACCACCGCCGTTCCCGCCAGCTATCTGGTTGTTGTGCATGTGCCGTCGTTCTGCTCAGCGCGGCGCCGGCGCCAGCAACAGCAGTCACTGCTGTGCACGTGGTGCTTCGATGCCAACGACGTGCACCTCCCGGCCATTCGCTCGGGTCTCATTCCAGAGGGCACCGGAGATCACGGTGGTGGTCGCGATGATGATGGCGGTGACGGTGGACATCATTCCAACTTTGGCGGCGATGCGTTTGGCTTGCACCGGCACACGTCGTCAGCGGTCGACATTGCTGTGGATGAGGAGGTGGTATGCGCGCAGGCGTGCGTGGACCCGTGGCAGCGCGTTGTTCTCTCCGATGCTTGCAAGCACTGCCTTGAAGACGTGCGCACCAGGATCCTGGGCAATTTTCTCGGTGGGTGGAGGCTAGCGTATGTGTGTGTGCATGTGTGTGTGATTGTGCGTATGTATTTTGTGTGTGTGTGTGTGTGTGTGTGTGTGTGTGTGTTTGGAGATGCTCATGTGTTTGTACTCTCCCCTTGTCCCAATGGATCTCACGTCTCTCACTGTCGTCAATTCATATTCTACTGCGCATCTGCACAATCAGGGCTTTACACATGTCGTGGCGAACAAGTCATTCGCCTCTCGCTCACATATGCGCGGTAATACAACTAAATACGTGTGTACATGCGCACGTGTGTGTGTGTGACATGCAGTGGTGTGCTCTGCACGGTTTGATTGCATTGTCGCATGTTTGTAATGTCGTTCCCATTGCACTTACCGCTGTATCGCATCACCTTGAACGCCACACTGTCGTGTGCCAGGTTTGATGCGACGACGTTCCTGTTTGTCGTTGGTGGTGATGCGCATTTCTTCTACGACCGCACGTACGGATCGTACGAATACATCGGCGTCCTCGACCCGTACGTCAATACACACACACACACACACACACACACACACACACACACACACACACACACACACAAACACACACGTACAAACACACACGTACAAACACACACACACACACGAACAACTGCGACCCTCGACCTCATCCCCATCACTGCACTCCAACTTCAACCCCCCCCCCCCCCTCCCCACTCCACTGTCGAACGCACGCCACCGATCGCCACAGCCGGGATCGCAAGTTCCTGCTGAGCAGTGGGCGGTGGCACGTACGCCCCCGCGATTTCTATCCGGCGCCGCTGCGGGGCGCGTTCACGGCCGACTGGTCAACCATGACCGGTTC